TGTTGGTTCAACTTCAACTTACAAATGGTCATACATTCACCTTTTGAATAGTTGATTAGTTTATTTATTTAGTTTTCATGCTTTTGCTACCTTTGAATACCCTTTTCATTTTTTATTGTATTTTAAAATATGTTTTGTTCTATAAATATGTTTAATAAAGTAAAATTTTACTGAAAAAACAAACATACCTACAAACATGCATATTTATGTTTTTTTGTAGAATGATTTAATCAATTAAAGAATGATTTAATCAATGACATATTTCTTGATTACATCCATAATTACCTGTACATTTGTAGAACACCACAATAGCAGCAATAAAAGATACAATAATCATACATATTTTGGGTATGCATTGTATAAATTGGGTCGAATTTAACGCTTCAGTCAAGGCATTTTAGACATCTCCTTCGGCATATATTATTCGATCCAATTATAAACTTCTGGTAGTTACATTTAGCTAACAATTTGCTCTGACTAGATAAGTATCTTACGATATTTAACCCTGATATAATTTTTACTATGAACATAACCAAGTGAGCCAGCTATGATGACAATATCTTATACATTATACATATGTGATATGCATACCCAGGTGGCCATTCCTTGTAGATTTTGGTTTAGTAATCACGGAGATGATAAATGCGATTTGCAAGTTTACACAAGAGCTGCAGTACATGGTATGTGTCGGAGAGTATGTGTCATGGCTTAGGGAGCGGCCTGGTCGCTCTCCATGCCACACGACCTGTTTTTATCAATCCTCTCATTTCCATGTTTTTATCACTTGTTACTTCGGAGATTTGAGCATCCATGTTTACATGCAATAAAGTTTGCTTCGGAGCCTCCCGCGAGAGCGTTTCAAGTTTTCCTACATAATTCAAATTAAAGATCATATTCCTGTTTGTTTTCTCATCCGTCGTCCGTGTGTTGAATGGCGGGGAAAAGTAATTTCTTGTCTGAGTACCGTGACACCTGGTTATTACCACACTCCAGGTGGTGAGGAGAATTTCCGTAGTATTTCTTAAAACATAGCTATTGGAATAAATGGATGTTTTTAGTTTATTTAAGTTTAAATTTGCTCCATTTCTCATAAACAAAATATCTTCATGATTCCAAGCGGAAAACATGATGCATTTTTTTTGTTTGTCTGAAGTATGACATTTTGGTCGTGATGATTTCATCTGAGAACCCAGCTTTTTCTGGGTCAACTATGAATTCCCTGGGGAGTGTCCAGGTTATGTCACTGTTTTATGCTTTTGTTAACATCTTTTAACAGCTTATGTTCCAGCCAATATTACATTTGTCAACTTTTTTCATGGCTCTTCTCCACCCATTTATACTATTTTGCTCTGAATTTTCCTTAAAATACTGTATGCCCCATTTTAAATTATTTTCTAGAATTTTATGAACAACTTATGTTCTAGCCAATATTACATTTGTCAAGCTTTGTTAAAAACTGTTTTATGGTTCCTCTTCACTCATTTATACAGTTTTAAACTGATTTCTTTCCAATTTAAATATGTCTCAATTTTTGATTTATTCCTGGAATTTTAATGAAATATGTAGTGTCAAATATATTAGTTTAAAGTGACTACAAAACTAATTAAATATGAAATAAAAACATTTTTTTTCTGTTTTTTTTTTTTTTTTAAGTTTCCCTATCCCCTCCCCCATTTCTGTGAGGTAGTGTTACTAGTCAATATCATGCTATCGTATTACATGTTTCCTTTTCTCTTTTAAATCTTATTTTTAGATATTTGTAAGTACCATAGCATTTGGGCCTAATGGACATTCTCTAAACGCAAGTTACAAGTCCTCAGAGGTATGTGTAATACATGTTCGTCATAAAATTTTTCAGTTAGACGCCCTCATTAGTTCTATAAATTAGTTTTAGGTTGCGTTAATTCCACTCATCGTTGGTTCCTGTTGATACTTGGGTGTAACTGTCATTTATGGCCATAAATTGCTTCACTTAACTAATGTGGGTCGTTATTGGTTCCTGGGCTTAATTTCCAGGTCAGCCTTGGTTTCTGAGGTTTTGTAAAAGGTTACTATGGGTTACCGGTAGTTTGTATTGCCCTTTAATAGGTTCGTAATTTAAATATAAGGGCAATTTTGATTTCCTGTCTTAATGAAATGGTATTTAAAAATTTGGTTGATAGTCAAAAGTTACTGCTTTTTGGGTGTTGTTTTTATGTTTTTGAAATACATGAATTTTTCATAATAGGCTTATTTGATTTTTCTAAATTGTGAATTCTTATAGGTAATGTTTTCATGAAAACTTCATATTTTGTTAATTGTAAAACAAGTTGATTTAAAAAAAAATATTTTGGTATTTTTTTTTACAAAATGTGTTTTTTTATGATCTAATCTAAATTGTAAATTATTATTTGTAATATTTTTGTATATTTTGTTAATTGTTGTCAAATAAAGTGCGATTTTTTTAAAACACCCAGATGTTTTACTCCTAAGATTTCATTTGACATTTTTAATTAAAGCTGAATTAAATTAAATAATATTAGATTGAGTTTGTACAATACAGTACAGTATTTATTTATTTCTTTGTGTTTGTCTTATCTACTTATATATTGATTTATTAAATTAAGATAGTTAAATATCTTTCTATTTTATGTAATTTGATAATTTTTGATATTTTTCTAGTCTTATAATTTCCAAGATGAAGTTGGACATCTGTTGCTCCAAGTGTGCCGCATCATTCCGTACGGAGTACTCATGTTCTTCCCTTCCTACAGTATGATGACAAAACTGCAGGAACGATGGCAGGTATGGGGGTTGTTAGTGGGGGGTGGGGGAGTGATGTCTCCATCCCATGGTGCATAGGTTGGCAGAAATTTATAACAACCATCATCATTACTATGAGATGAGAGCAGCTTTAGCTCAGTCAGCTAAACTGGTGGTAGCCACTGTGTGTGCTGAACTGTGGAGATATCTTGGTCCCTGGTACAATTCTTTTCACTGCTCTCTTTGTGTTTCAGTTGGAGGGCTGAAATGCAAGTTATGATAGTGCACAGTCTTTCCGATGAGACATATAAGCTGTTGATCCCGTGTGCATCATGGTGGCCCATGTACACGTCAAAGAACGCAGTATACCCTTCGGAAAAGAGTAGGGGATTATCTCCAGGTATACTGCCCAATCACCACCAGAAGGACCCAACTGTAAATAAGTCTTCTCCAGACTTTCATGGGTTGTCAATTGTGTTTACACCGAATAAATCCAACACCTTTATTATAACCACCTAATGAAATTATGCTAAAGAATGTAAAGCTTTAAAGTTGTAATAAAATTACAGACATTCCAAATTTTGATATAGATTGGAGCCTATTGTGCTTAATTCATGGTTGTATATTATGTCTTGTTGTGGTGTGAAATTTGTGGCCCACATGCATAGTCACCCAACACACACTTTCATAACCTTGGTGGTTTTATTGGGGTTGGAAGATTTTGCACCAAATATGCATGGCATGTCAAAAGAATTATATACAAATTACACAAAAGAACTATAAGCCTTGTTTATCGCAACTTGTTTTAATATAATATTTCTTCTGTATTTTTGCCTGATTAGTAAAATAGCTCCTGTTCTCCTACATGAGCCCAACTTAGCACCTATTTTTTTGTTTCCCTTTTCCTCTAATTTTGTATCTTACATTTAGCCTTATTACATCTTGTAAATCATTGTGTATCAAATGATAGATAAAAATACTCACTGCTTTTGCTTATCTTTGATATGACCCAGTACTTGACTATGAGCAGGGCAGGTTTAATAGAAGTTGGCAACAAATATGATTTTTCAAGCATTCTAAATATATAGTTCATAGTGTTGTAAAGAAAGCTATAAACCTTGAGGCTATATTATTTACCCAGTGGCCAGCTACAAACATGATATACATTTCACATATATATAGTCACAGACCTCTTTGACTTCCTTTCCTCCTCCATCCTTTCTAGTGTCTGCATCCCCGTGTCTTCCTTACTTCTCCTTGCTTCCATTGTTGCCATTTGTCTGCTTTCTTTTGTCTCTGTTGTGTTGCCATTTATCTGCTGTTTTTTTTTGGGCTGCTTGCTTCTGCTTGCCTCCTCCCCTTCTTTGCCTCCTCCATCCTTAGCTGTTTCTCTGCCACACCCCCTTTACCTCCAATGTGCCTCTCCTTGCTACCTTTTGCTCTGTCTTTGTCTCCATTGCCTGTTCATGCTTCTTCTCATTTGATTCCCTTTACGTTCTCTCTGCCTTTCCTTCGTTTTTTTCACCCTACCTCACCTTGCACACCACTATCTTGTTCCCTGGCCTTCCTCTCCCTCCACCCCTTTGCCTTCTGCATGCATTTCTTTTGCCTCTCCCACTTTATAGATAATTTTTACTTTTTTGTTTTACATAAACTGTTTAGTTTTAGTTGTTGATCTTTAGATGTTCAATTTAATGTCAAATGTCAAATAATTTTCTCTCATTTCCCCATTTCTATTTTAGAACACCGGTTTATGGGATAAGTTGAATGAACTAAAGGTTGTTTTGAGTGAACCACGAGGGAATAACACAAATGAATTTGATTCTTTGCTGAGGCAGTTCTATGATGTCATCAAGGAATGTGAGCAACGACAACAAGTTAAAGGTGACTAAGTACAGTATTACGCAAAATTTTATTAAGGATTTTTTTCCAGAATTTTTTTTGAGTTATTTCTAGTTTAGCCCAATCCAATAAAGTCAAGGATGTAGGAGAATGATTTGTTTCTGTATAAATCTGATCAACTTGCTGGTTTAGGCGCAAGAAACTTGGTTAACTTCTGTATTGCTTTTAACGTATATATATTTAGGGGTCATTCACAATTATCAACATTTTCACAAGTGTACAAACAATACGCTGGGTGGGGAGGGGAAGGGGTGGACACATTTGTACACTTTTACCTTTGCATGAAAATGTTGATTCAAAATAACATACAATATTTTAAATAATAGATCTTTATGACCAAATATAATGTAACCATGGATATACAAGACATTTTTATGCAACCAAATACAATATTTTAATTGACTTCACAAAAAAATTGGTTTTGCAAAATCAACATTTACTGTGTACACTTTCAATGGGGAGGGAGGGGGTTACCAAAAAGGAGTGTTGCTTGTACACTTTGCGATAATGTTGATAATTGTGAACATCTATAACAAAGTAATTAAACTTTTAGTACACCATGTGAAAGAATATGGTTTCTGAGATAAAACCACTAGTTGATCATTTTATTATTGATACTTACCATGCAAAACCTAAAAGAAATATGTTACCATCCTTCAACAAAAACTTTACAAACGAGTTACATGACATTTTTTCGATGATAGCTACTGTTTTTGGAAAGGATGTGTTGTTGTGGGCAGAGATTTTTTTAGCATGAACTTCATAATTTTGTTTATTTGTGATGATAACAATTTTCAACTGAAGGCTACACTGCTCCCCTAGCCTCATTAAGTAACTTGGTGATCAAAGCTCCCAAATTAACAACTTTGCTTGGTGGAACATCCTTCTTAAAAGATTATGAAAATAAATTTTTGAAGTAACATAAAAATGATCAACTAGAACTTGGAAATTCCTAAAGATGACCCAATAAAGGTCAAAACGTTGAATCATGGCTTCCCTCTTTAATATTATTTAGAGTAATGTTCATTCTATGCTATTTAAACATAATCAGTGCCTCTGTTGGCTTAGAAATTAGTATATTAAATAAAATATTACCCATAATTTTTAGGGAAAATATTCTTTAAATTCAGTACCTTAAAATGAATTATATAATTTGATTCTTGATACTTTTTAGATATTGATGATCCTATTCAAAATGGCGCGGTGTTCTTAGCAGTGTGTAGAGGCAAAGTGAGTGAGGGCATGGATTTTACTGATAATAATGCCAGAGCTGTACTCACAGTAAGTGAAGTATCTACATTATTTTTACAGCAATTTTCGAAGGGTTACAGAGCACTTTCCCCCTCATTAAATATGAAGTCAATCAAACACCATGTGCAAATTTCTCCATTCCCTGTGGAGAATTCCTAATTCCCTGTTGCATATTCCTAATAAAAATAGTATGTTAGACTTAATGCCAACAAGGCCTTTAAGTATTTCACATTATTACCTCCTGATCATTGGGTCTAACACATATGATCATAATTATATAATTATAATTATGTAATAGTGCATGTTATTCAGCACAGATTTCATCTCAATCTATCAAATTATTATAATACAAATTACAGAAATGCCATATTCATTCCTCAAGTGTTGCACTGTTCTTTACAAGGAAAAGTGCTTACCCCAACAGTGTTGTGGTCATCACCATCTCGCCTAAGCACACCATACTTGTCATGTCTACAGTTTATGATGCACTTTGGTATATTCTGTCACTTTCTCATTAATAATAATGATAATGCCAAAGATTTATATAACAGCAATTCCAAACCACGGATCAAAGGCGCTGAGCGTTTTTACCCCTGGTCACTGGATAACATTTAACGGCAAACCAGCACAAAGTGCAACCGTCTCTGCTTCCTGGTTGTGTGCATGTAGTCAACGAATGAAACTAGTACAATCAATGCCACAACATCCTACCAGGTACCTATTGATTCTCCTGGGTAGAGAGAGACAAACTTAAAGTGACTTGCCCAAAGACACAAGCGAAGTGCACAGCAAAAGTTACGAACCCTTGTCCTCAAGGTTGGGAGTCCAAGCCAAGACCTTTGTGCCAACCACGTTCTGCCATGTACCCATTTATCTTCCTTGGTGGAGAAAGACATTCTTAATTAAATTGCTGGCCCATGTTTATTGACCCAAGCAATAATATGTCCTGCCTTGGATTTAAATTCCCTTCACTTGAAAACTCCAAAGACTTACTGCCTTGTCACCTGCTTCCTCATTGTTTTGATGTTTCGTTCTTTTTTTTCCGCTGTAAAGTTTTATGTATTTATTTCAGCATTGTTATAGTTATTTTAAGTTATATATTTTGTAATAATTTATAGTTTTGATATATTAACATTTTTTTAAGGTTGGGATTCCTTTCCCCCATTTCAAAGATAAACAAGTTGAACTAAAGCGACAATACAACGACAAGTACTCAGCTGAGAAGGGCTTGTTGACAGGGTCCGCATGGTACGAGATCCAGGCCTACCGGGCCATAAACCAAGCCCTTGGACGCTGTATCAGGCACAGGTAGGTAAAGTTGGCCAATGATTAACATTTTATTAAATTAACAATTATCATTTATTTAATTTAATTATCATTCAGTATCTGGTCATAATTTAGAATGCCGTATTAACTGCAATGACTGCAGTAACAGACATATTTGTGTAATAATAATAAATTGGAAAATTTGTATAGTGCCTGTTAGAAAAATATTATTTTTCACTGGTACTTAAATATATAATATGAATTATTGATTAAAGAGATATGTTTTAAGGTTTGTCATGAAATCAGTAATTTATCAAAGTTTAGGTGGAAAGTTCCAGAAATTATGAGCGGCAAAAGTGCTGACATGCAGCATTCTAAGAACAGACAACCTGAATGATTTCTACTTGTGGAATGTAACGATAATAATTGTTGTGAGTTGGATGAAGAAAGGTAATATGGAGAGTGTCCATATAATCATTTATGAGTGAGAAGGATAATTGTGAAATTTAAGCGATTAGTTATCTGTAGCCTATGAAAGTCTTAGGATAGATGAAATATATGTGAATATTTTTAAAACTGAAGTATTCTCCCTGGGGGAGAATTCCACAAGGTTGCAGCTGTAATCAGCACATAGTACACCTTAGTAGAAAGACTACCGTAGTTAAAGTGCCTTGCCCAAGACACAAGTGAAATACACAGCATGGGATTCAACCTCCGACCTCAATGTTGAGAAGCAGAACCACAACCTCTCCGCCAAACATGTTGATTGATTGATTGATTGGTTGGTTGTATTGTTTTTTTTTTCCCTTCATCTTTATCTTTTATAGGCTAGATTGGGGTGCATTGATTCTTGTTGATGAACGATATGCAAGAAATCCAAATAAGTATATATCCGGTAAGGAATCAAAACATTTTCATTTTTTCTTTTTATAACTTGATTTTCTTTTCATGTTATAATTCTAAAATATTTACTTTCTTGGTTCATCTTAAGGGCAGTTTTTGAATTGGTTTAGTCTAAGTTAGTTCCGCCACTTGGATAATAAAACATACATGAACACATGTGTTTCCATGTTATGATTCTATAATATTGACTTTGTTCATCTTTAGTTATTGGACTGGTTTAGTCTAAACAAAATTATGTTGCATTGCAATTAACCAGTCTAATGGACATTGCTGCTAAGTTCCCCCTCTTGAATATTGTTGCTATTCACACAAAGCGACAGTATTAAAACATACACGAACGAGTTCGTATGTGGGACAACCACGTGTGCTTGTTGGACACGCGCGTATTTCTGGCATTGTTCTGATTGGCCAGTTGTTCAGTTTGACACCTGGAATGATCTATTACAATATAAATCATTTTGCGCATTCTATTTAAAATGATTTAATCACGCTATACACCAAAATAGTAATCTCCAATAATGCCATAACAAAAATAATGCATTTTTCGATAGAACAAAAATAACATCATCATTTACGTTAAAAATGGAATGAGTTTGAGTGGTATCTTGTCTAAGAAAATGCATTGAAGTTAGCACGGATGATACTTTTTATAACGTTCTCAAAAATATTTATTATTGGTTGTACACTTAACTTTGTTTACCTGTTACAAGGTGGTTGGACTTTTATGTATCTTGCACCTGTTCCGACCTCCTTGCTCGATTGATTGAGTGTTCCTCTTAATTTGTGTTGTACTTGTGTATTTTAAGCTGTGTAAAAATAAAATAATCCATAGAAATGGTTTTTTTTTCAGATTAGTTAAATAGATGCGCTATAGATAAAGAGAGTATTAACAATTATTTAAATGCTACTATAGTACAACCAATATGTTATGATTTGTATAAATCTGTTATAAATATACAAAGGTTTATAAACAAAACTTATATAATTTTTTTTTTTTTTGAATAATGTCATTTTCTGTATTTTGAAATAAAAATTACATTTGATTTAATTTTCATTCTCATTTGACTAAATATACGAATGAGGCATGTCATGGAAAAGTTGTCGCAGGAGCTAAAAAAAATGACCCAAAAATCAATTTTTTTCCCACTATAGATCAAGAGTTTAATGTCTAATTGATCATGTTCCAAAGTCTTAGTTCTTGAAATGGTCACGAAATTGTTTATTTAACTTCATTTTTGTAGTTCATTCTATTAAATAATGTATGCACAAATAAGAGAGATGGTTTTCCATCTGTTTATTTTTTTCACCTCATTTGACATCCAATCGTCCAAATGTAAATGTGTTATATGACTTTATTTTTATTTGAAGAACTGTTAACACTAGAAACAGGAAACCGTTCTAATTTCTTATTAGAGGTTGTTATTTTTACCGTCTAGTGCTTTTCACTGTAGATTGCATACTGTACTTTTTTGGTTTGACACCTGGTATATTACCATTAGTCCTTACCTTTACCTATCCATTTCGTGCCTTCTGGCCGCCCACGCACTTCCACTTTTTCCACCGCACTTCGCCACTTTGTTTTAATTAGTCGACTAACTTTTTTTCAGCCACCTTGTTTCCAAGTTAGTGGTGGTTTCATAGTGTATATTATGACCTAATCAACTATCTTTTTATATTTTTTTTTTATGCATAGAAAAAGTATTTTATTAATATTGTTGTATTCATAATAAAATTTGATTCAATTTTTTTTTTCATTTTGGAATTTTATTTTATATATTGTTATTCTTTCTAAATAATTCTATAGCTTTTCATAATTTAAAAAAAAATATGTTTGGCTGAATCTAGAACGTGCTTTATATATTAGATCAAATAAAATAATGTCTAATTTTTTAGCCATGCTGTCTGTCCATCAAAGTAATCACAAGTTTGATTGATTGTCAAAGCACTCAGCAACAACACCCTTCAGAATTCAGCCAACGAGAGCTGTGAAAGGTCCAAACATTGCATGCTGTCACTCGCCTTTGATAGGTTTTATTTAGTATTCTCATGTCAGTAAACCATCATGTCACTGTCTGAGGTACTGAACATGAGCAATTTGTATCAAAACATTTTTTCCCATTTTCTAGGACTTTCTAAGTGGATCCGAAACAGTGTGATACACACTAAGCATGCTGGTGAACTCTGTCAGTCACTCGAAGATTTCATCAAAGTTATGAAAGAGAAACAGAAGGAAAGGTAAAAAAAATCAATTTACACTTTTCCATTTTAGGGATGATTAATAAAAAATAATTTGAATATAGAAAATTCTTTTAGGGGTTAAGGGCGGATCCAGAGGGGCTAGATCACACTTCCCCCCACCCAATTATAAAGGAGGAAAAATAGAGAGGAGAAAATAAAATAAAGGAGAAAGAGGTGTTCATGGTACTCCAAAACAAGCTAATTTTCGATTTAAATACATAAAATGTACCAAATTCTCGCGCATGTTGCATGGTCCCTACCCAGATTTTCCTCTTCATCTGCTGAAAGATGGATAAAGTTTTGAGAGTGATGATATAAACTGTAGGACACAGTACATGGAAGCCTTACCAGTAAGTAAAGCCAAAACCCGTAGCTCACTGACTGGAGTGTTTTTCTCTCTTTCACTGGCTTTTGGCCAGACTGCAATGTTGTGTAGGGTTTGACACTTCATCTGCATAACAAGTCTCTTTTACCTTCCCAGCATATGTGGGTACCCATTTACACTCCTGGGCAAAACATTGACAAACATAGATAAAGTGTCCTGTCTAAGGATGCAAGTACTGTAACTTCTACATCATGGGTTTCAAATCCCAGAACTCAAGCTAAGAGTCTTCAGCTGCAACTGTTGCACCATTTGCGTCCACCAGTTCTCCACAAACTGCCATCTGTTGTAATTCTACTCTGAACAACTAAAGATTAAAATGACTGAATTATAAAAAAATATTTTTGATTTTTGACAATAACTATACTTAAGATATTAGTTTTAATTTAAGAAGATTATGTTCAATTCCAAATGTTTTTGGTTAGAGTTTGTAAAAAGGGAAATATAGAAAGTAAATTACATGTACTGTATGGTAATGGCAGTTCAAACTGTGCTTAATGGTTTGAAATTGTTTACTGTAACAAGAAAAATTTTTTTTTACTTTGTTGCCTGTCATGCTTTTTGCATTCTATGAATATTCCACTCTGATTAAAGTAATTTTTGAACATCACATGGGTGCTTTGTATTGTACGGTTGCTGAAGCACGACCTATTGGATGTGAGAACAAATCTCCCGTAATTGGTCACCCGCGATTAGCATTGATTTGAGGTTGTAGAATCACACTTCAGACGATGCTAACAAATCTTGTTATTGCTGTATTACCTTGAATATTACTTCTTGTCGGTCAATGTGGTCACCCTGATTTCTTGATTGTCCTGTTGAATTCAATTTTTTTTTACATTGGTCACATAGTACTTTGATATAGAGAACTTTGTTTATACAGAAAATCTGTGAAAGTGGCTGTTTCAAATTTTTTGGTTGGCTTTCATTTACATAATTCATCCTTATATTCCTGCTAAAAATTTAAAATCTCGAGCTTTCCATTCTGCAAATAATTTAATTTCAAATTGATTATATGTCATTTTTCTTTGTTATGCTCTACAGCTGTTCTTGTAAATATAAAGATTAAAATTATATTTCATTTTATTGCAGTCTAAATATTTCTACTTTACCATCTGCACAAATGACTCCATCAACACAAAGTTTTGCCAATTGTGCTTCAACTCCTGGAGAGAAACCTACATTTGCAACTATGCAACAATTCTTAAAGTCAAAGAGTCAGCAAACTCCAACACATTCACAACATGGATTGCCTCAGACTCCTGTCAATGCCTTGCCTCCAACTCCAGTCCAAGCCTTTCCTCAGACACCAGCCTTGCCCCAGACTCCAGTTCAAGCTCTATTTCAACCTGTGGCCGGTCCACAGCCTCATCCCCAACTCTTGCCTGTGCCTCAACAAACTGTAGTTGTGTCCACAGAGGCTGTCCAAAAGATGTTCCAAGTGCAGCAGTTCTTGCGAGGGGCCGATGGCCAGCAAACTGAGGTACGACAGTTTGTAAAGCTGGCACCGTATCAGGCGCTAATGAAAATTGTTGAAAACGGAATTGACAAACTTCTTGTTGTTGATCTGCCTAAACCAGTTGCAAATGTTACAAAGCAAAATAACACAAGTCCTAACATGTCAGTTGGAACACCAGCTACAACCACAACTCAAACACCTGTACAGGTGAACCCAATCAAGGGAAATCCGTCAAAGGTTACTACCTCTGGTTTAATTCCTACCTGCAGTTCACCCAGTGGAACTCCAAATATTTCTAAAGTTAATTCTACTAACAATGTCCTTAGTACGAACTTAACCATGGATACAGAGCATCAAAATGGCTTTTCTTCTCAGAATTCTGTAGCCATAGGTATATGCAATGAAACAGTTGCCACATTGCCAAGAAACCAAATACCAGACATCAATCAAAATTGTAGACAAAGAATCGGAACCAGTAAACCACATATCAAGGTGGAGTATGAACAACCAGTTTTAGAGGAAACAAAAGGAATGCTGCCGAATAACAAAGAAGGATCAAACATTGATCTTGATGTCAATCAGCAAAAACTAAAAAAGAAAATTTCTTCTGCTACCAGGTCACCTGGTGTTTACAAATTTGTCAATATTCCTGAAAAAATTGAACTTGATAGTCCAGATCTTTTTCAAGGAACACCAGACCTCTTTGATACAGATTCTATACCATCAAAGGAAGTCACACCAATGATGGGAATTGTAGAAAGTGAGACAGAACTGAAGAAAGTTGACAATAAATTGGTTGATGGTGAAGAAAATGGTACCATAGAAGAAAGAAAGAATGTTCGATCAAACCCTATTACAAGAAAGAAACTCTTTAAACCCAGTACTTCAACAGAAGCAGCTAAAGTATTTTGCAATGGAGACAATAAAGTAGAAATTGAGGGGACGTGTGATGAAACGTTGAAAGAAGACATTCTTGAAAGTCAAATTGTAACTCGAAGAAATCGACGAAAGAAATCATCAGAAAGTGATGGGAGGAAGAAGAGTAGAGACATGTTGGATGATATGGACCCTTCTAGTGGAGATAAGGTGAGTAAATCAATCAATCAATCATATTTTTATAACCTGTTTTTTTATTCATCTTTTTTCCAAAATATTACATCTCGATGAGAAAATAAAATGTTCTTTTTATTCTTTTTTTACCCTCCTTTCCAAACAAATTTATGGGAACATCACACAAATTTGTCATATGAAATTTTATAGTGTCAACAGAGCCTAATGATGACTTGGACATTGATATGTATTATGCTGCCACCAATGCTATTATATGTATTTCTGCTTTTTATACTGTTGCCATTATATTACATTTATCTCAAATTAGATTTTCTATACAATTTGATAATTTATAATGCAGTAATTTAACAACATACAGAAGTCATTTCCTGTACAACAAAGCAGGTGATCGTTACAGATTATCTATTTGAAGATTCTAAAATTAAATTTTATTAATTATTTCTCATTAAGCATTAATATTATTTTTTTAGTAAAACAAGTATTTCTTTTTGTGATACATCATTTAAGCTTATGTTATGGATTCTATTTAGTAGTAAAAAAAATCACAATAATTGCATTATTCTTTTTTAACATACTGTAATGTGGCTAAAATGATAAATTCCTTTAAAAGAAGATGCAATAAAATTAATTAAAAAAATATACAGTATAATATAAATACCCTCAGAAATTATAAGAAGTGATACACTATTGAAGGTTCTCTAAGGCACAGGAATTAAAAACAACAATTTGGAAATACTCTTATTATAACACAATACTGTATGAGATAGTAATTATGATTATTATACATTTTTCATGTATTTGTAAATTCCTGAAAAGCAGCAAATGGAAAACATCTCAAGCAGAATGCTCCTTATCAAGTAAACAATTTCTCCCTAACTATTTTTATCAGATTTAAATTGTGGTTGAATAAATAAATGAAATGAAACTTAACATATCAATTGTTTTGAAATGAGCATTTCAGAATATAGATTTGTACTGTATTGTATATTTTGCATAAGTTTATGCGTTGCGTGCATTTATATATATATATATATATATAATTTTGTTACAAAGTAACAAATTTCAAGTTTATTTTTCATCGAAAAATACTTAATTAGAATAAAACAAAACAATATAATTAATAAACAATTAAGTAAATAGGAGTGAAGGTTCCCCTACCTGACGTGTTACCGCACCAAATACTCAGTACGTTCCCAAATACTTACAAGTGATTCGGGTGGGAATCGAACCCATGACCGCAAGATAACTAGCCTGGTGACATATCAACTAGATACCAAGCTTGCACTTTGTGACTAGTGTTGAATCCGATCCCCAAGTAGCAATGGTACTGCAAATGCTATATCGATGCAAGTTTTTGTCAGGAAATATCATAGGAGTGAAGTTTGTATGTATTTATTAAGAAGACAAAGTATGTAAGCTTGGGTTGTGGAGTGCCTTGATAGCCTAGTTAAATTTACACATTAAGTTGGAGGCTGATTTTCTCATTCAAGGTTGGGCAATTTCATTTTTAATGAATATTAATGAGCAGTCCCAGAATCCCTGCCAACTTTAACAGTATACTAGTTTCTCTGTTGGGTCATCACTATAAAGTATTCATCCTAAGTAGGTTTATGTTAAATGAGCCATGTCATTTTGAAAATGAAGTGTTAAATTGTTTTTTGTTTTTTTCCCTGTTAGTATCATCAACCAGCATTAAGTGAAATAGAATTCTGGTTTCTCTTTTTAATTATGGGAAACCAAATTCATATTGCAAATATTGTAAAAAAAACCAACTTTAAATAAAGTGCAATAAAAATTCAATACTTAATTTAGGTATTATTATTATTATTATTATTATTTTTATTATTATTATTATTATTATTATTATTATTATTATTATTATTATTTTATTATTTTATTATTATTATTATTGTTATTATTATTATTATTATTATTATTATTGTTATTATTATTATTGTTATTATTTTTGTTATCTGAAATTGAAAAGTTAACCATATTTTCCTTGTCAGTTCACAGATTCATCTTTCAGCACAGACAGTATCTATCTATAAATAAAGTGTGATAAGGATAATAATAATTATTTATTTTGTAATTGCTGCAAAGCAGCCAATTCATATTCTTGACAGCAATTTGACCTCTGAAAGGTCATTGTTTGTCAAAAAACAAGGGCCTAAGACAACTGAAAAGCGGAGTTTCCTTCTTTCGTTCTGCCGGGTAAAATCAATTACTTTAGGCAACGGAACGTTTGTAGACTAACAACACGTACCAACGTCCGCATGTCGCGCTAGCCTTATCCTACTCTAGGCCTAGACTAGCTAGGATGGTATAGGCCCAGCCTTGAAGGGACGAAGGTCCCAATGAAAAAAAAAACGTCGCTCCTTGATAGCATTGTCTATTTAACATCACAATAATTCATTATTAGACCTATAGTTGTTTTTTGAATTGTACTCCACAAATCTCAGCCGATACCTTGCACAACTCGAGTAACGTCTCGTATCTATTGTCGTGACGTCATGGCTCGCTGGCTCACACTTGCGGTGTCTCGCACTTGTGATCAAATAACACGCTGGCTCGCACTTTGGCAACACTCTTTGGCAGTCAACTCGCCCCTAGAAAACCAGCCTTTGGAAACTTGCCCCATAAAAAAATGTACACTTCCTAGACCATGCAGTCTTCAAAATAAAAATTGTAACCTTTGGTAATCAACTACATTTTCCACATACATAGAAATTTTTGAAACTTTATTAAAAAAAACCTAAACCATAATTCACCACTATACTTTTTGACAAAAATGAAAAATTACGACTTTGTTACCCAATGAGAAGTGTTCTAATATAGAGAATTGGTCGTGTCTCATATTATTTGTTATATTTTTATTATTCATTATTTTCACTTGACTCGCATAAATAATTTTGTTCGAAGAACATTTATATGCAGTTGTACTTCGCAGCACTTCACTTGCAATTTGCAATTTCTAGTAACAATACTATTTTCTATTGAACTTAAATTTAAAATTCTGGATTTGGTCATTTTTTTGTAGCTGACTGTTAATAAATAGTAGCTGACTGTTAATTATACAGTAGAACCTCCCTCCCCCCTCTCCCCTCCCCTTTGGGACACCCCTATTAAGGGAAAGCTATGAAATGGGAAGAAAATGCGCTCAACCACAGCGATGTGTTATTGGCACATATCAATTGGCAATTATGACGGAAGGAGTCCAATGAATACCTATTAACACTATGGCCAACTCCTATTCAGGGGTCGACACATTTTCGGCTCCGTACTTGTCCCAGGGCTCAGCTGTAGTACTAATTTATTGTTGGAATTTTGAGCACTAATTTAAGTAATTTTGGCCACTAATTTGACAACAAATCTTTTTTTTTGTATTGAATTGATTCAGAATCTAGAACAGTCACTCCTTAGAGTGCTTGCCTTCGCCTCGTGCCCCGCCATTATTTTCTTTATGCTGAAAGTTAAAAAAAAAAATCTGAATTTCCGTGAACTTGACCCTGTCCTTTGACCTTTTCTTCCCAAAATTTAATCGTGTCTTTCTTAGATTATTATGTACCATTCCACTAAATTTTATAATGATGCATTCCTTAATTTTTGCATAATCTTTGATAACAGACAGACAGACAGACAGCGGGGAATACTGTACATAACCTCTGTGGTGGAGGGAGCAATTTTGCGCAATAAATGTCATGAATTTAATTTTTCTGTTATTAGAGTGCTGAACCCGGCCAGTGTTTTGAAGGCATTTGTTGTCCTGGTCAACACCAACTCTTCCCAAACATAAAAAGTAAGTACAAAACAAACACCCTCTCTGTCTACGAAGGAAAAGAGAATCTGTTTAAGCTTCCAGCAACAGATGTTGCGTATCAATAATGGTGAAGGTGTTAAAAGTCTCGCACATTTCTAAAAGGTTAGCGCAAGACCAAATTTTTATCTTCCTGTTTGTACAGTTTCTCACCAGTTAAAGACGTTGCGGTAGTGTGTATTTTTTCCCCTCTGTGATCTAAATAAATCATGCATAGTTGTGAATATTTGCGATAACCCTCACTATAGCTTGTAAGTTTCCTACTATAAAGCTGAAAAGTACTTTATTGATGGTATTCTCTTGATTCAACTAGGCACAAACTGTATATTTAACCTAAGCACACTTATACTGTGGCACCTACTAAGTATAAAAAGTTAAGGGGAAGAATTTGTTGTTATTTTCTTTTCTTTTTTTCAAAGAACTGCAAATTCCCTGGCCAATGATTTGCATCTTAATTTTCCAATTAAGCACCCTGGTTAATTAACTTGATTATGATGTTCTTTTTTAAATTTATGCTTGTCCCTTACAGTCCAATAAAATTGCGTTTAATCATTTTTTGGCAACACTTTATATGCTATAATGTGGAACGTGTCCATAATCCAAACATCTACAGCTAACAGCTTTTGCGTGAGTAAGCAATTTCGCCATCTGTAGTTGTGAACAAACCCATTACGAATGACAACAAGGTGCAAGATTAGCCAGAGAAATGAGCTAACAAATGACAGCGTAATCGTCTTGTAGACTATAGGAATGATTTTGTGGTCGGTGTCGAAGCGTAAATAATTTGCAATGGCACGTTTGGCAGGCCGTGCGCCACTTCAACTAACACCTTGTTCAATTTATCCAAGCCTGCCTCGCTGACTTCGATCTTGTGTTTTTATCAAGGGAGAGCTGGCTTCCCTCTATTTCTACCTTATCTCAGTGCTCCTTTGGGCCTATAATACTGTATGAAGTCAACCCTTATTAAAGTGATCTACATATTACAAAACATGGTTGCTATTTTATTCTCAAGTCCACTTGTGTCCAAGTTGGATGTTATATATAAATTTTTTCATCGTAGTTGATGGATTTTTTCATTGAATTTACGTTATCTGAAATTACTAATCCAATTAAACTATCAATTTAAAGTTAAAATAATTATTTTTGGCATTAATTTCTAAATATGGAAAGATTGATTGATATTTTATTAAAGAGATTTTGTGATCACTTAACTTAAACATTCAAGTATAGTCCTCTTTCATCTTTTCATCTGCTATTTTAGGAGTTTCTTTTGTGTAGAAGATGTTCAATGCAGGTCAAGTTCCAAGTGCTGTATGTGTTATATAACCTTTACAAGTCCATCCATACTTTTGCAAGTGCTGGTTGGTCAATTTGATCGATATTAAGGATGAATATTTATAGTGTAAACTGTTTACTGTACAGCAGTAATGTTTGGCTTTGAAGGTACTTGTATTCATGACAAATACAGAAACAGAAAACTGTAAAAAAACTCTGCACACTAATGATTAATGTAACAGGTTTTGCATATTATAAAGATTGTTTTTTTTTTAGTTTTCCTTAACTGACCGATTTTTACTACATTTCTTTATCCAAGATGGAAACAGAGTCTAAATACAAAAACAAAAATTAATGAATAGGATTTTCTACACTGTAAAAACAATCAATTTCATTTGTTGTTTATACATTTAAAAAAAATCTGGTTGAAGTATTTCACTTGCTCTATATAGTAAGTCAGAGATGCAATATGAAAATGCAAGAAATTATTTTTTGCATAACTGGGGTGTACAGTACGTTAGTTTACATTGGTTGCTTTGGAATTATTTGGTGACAAATATGAAACTGAATCATGGGTAATTTTTGCTTTCCCTGAAAAATTTGTACTTGATTGACCTCGCAATAATCCGTCTCAGAGACTGACGCAACTTCGATCAAATCCGCTTGGCATCTGTGGATATTTTCCATCCTTAAATGCTTAGAATTTTAGATATATCATCTTAGGATAAATAATTGAAGTAAATTGTTTATTTGGAAATCTTGATGTTGAAATTTCTAGGATTTTGTTAGCCTACATATCATGTGAAATTAAGGCAGCTAACACAGAGGCAAAGAAAAATTACACAATGACACAACTAGCAGGCAAGATTGTGCAGGTTTACTGTCATCCACCCCTCCCCCTCCCCTTTGTGTATGCGATTAAGTGTGACAGGTCAAGTGTCTGGAACTGACCACTTGTTTGTATCTTTGGGCCAGACACTTCATCTTCATTGCTTCTCTCCACCCAGGAGTTAAATGGGTTTTTGGTAGGTTAGTAGTGTTTGATAATCTTTTAATCGTTACAGCACAAATGAAATGCTCCCCCCAAGGGAGTGGAGGAGGCAGTGTGCATTACTGGATCTAAAATCAGAGAACAGGATTACCTTGAGGTTTCTTACATTAGACACTACTCTAAATAAATGTAATAAGTAAATAAGTAATAATTATAATAATTTAAAATAGAATTTTAGATAAAGTTATCAATCATTCAAAAGCCTAAAACCTAAATCTCTCCTAAACAAGTTTAAAAACAATGCAAGAACATCAACTGAAATAAAACAGTTAATGCCAGCCAGTTAGTTCTCCCTTAATGAAGGAAGCATTTGTCAGTTACCAAATAGCACTGTAATGCAATGGAATGTTAGAATATTTGTCTTCCACAATATCATCATCTCAAGGCCAAATGGACCAATCAGTTTCCATTCTTTTCGAATGTACACGTATAGAGTACGCATAAACTGAACACCCACCCACACACACACACACATGCACGCCCACACATGCACGCCCATAGAGTATGAAGGAGTGTGAATAACAGCAGGTACAGTTAATTGACGAATATACCATGAAAAGTTAGTCTTTTAAAGAATAATTTTTTGGATATTTTACTATATATATTATATTACTCGCAATTTAAAAGTTTTAATGAACTCGTTTTTTAATTTGTATCGTATATATTTATGCTCTGTTAACTGAAAATTTTATTTCAACCTATTATTGGTGTTTTACAACTGTTGGTTGAGAATAAAGAATAAAGTTTAAGTACCAAGAATGCTAATAAATACTTTAACAGGTGATTATTGATTATAGCACTAATTTTTATTATTTAAAATCAAATTAATATCCCTTTAAAATAGGCCTTGATTTCCTTACATTGATTTTATGCTATAAGTTTGATAAGAGTGTAGTTGAATAGCTCACTGGTTAAGGAAAAAACAACTCCACTCCCTAGGCCTCATAGAGACTTGGTTTATAAAGCATCATTCCATTCTGTAAGTGACGAGTGTACTGTAGTTGCTGTTGAATGTGAAGAAAATAAAAATAAAAAGATCTTGTTTCAAGCAAAACGAGCAGACAATTTATAATCATCTATAATCGAGGAATTCTGAGGCACTGATTGGCATTGTTAACACTATAGTCTTTATGCTAGACTTTTTTTATCCCTTGTTTTGCATATATATTTTTTTTAAAGATCATCGGAGGAGGGCGGAATAAAAATAAAAATTAAATTTTGTTTTCTTATTTAGCAAATATTTTGCCAAAAACATCCAAAAATAAAAATAAAATTTTATTGGTGAATGTAAAATAGGATTATTAAGAGCTTCAAATTTATGTAATTAGGAAGAAATGTACATATCTTATCTTTAAGATTTCAAGGCAGCGAAGGGCGTAATGAAAATAAAGAAAAACTTCTATTTTTTTCTGAAATTTCCACTTTTTCGTGGGGGCGAGTGTGCTAATTGCCCAAAAATAAAATTTTATTTTTATTTGAAATCATCAATATTTGCAGTCGGTGGGTTTGCTAAACAAGGTATAAAAAGAGTCTCGCCTTATGGAAATAACAAGTTTCCAATTTCTTCACTGATAGCCTGTAGTTTACAAAGTTTTTTCTCAATGTGTGAGAATTCTTTTGTGTTAGGGATTGAGCCGTGCAAGAGTAATTGTTACTATGATGAATGGTATGCTCATCGCACCGTGTGTTTCAGTGTGATCTTCTGGACTTCACTTTACAGTTAATTATAGATCAATTCTATATGAATTATGACTTACAGCGATTTACTTGGATTGCTTCTATGCCATCTGCCTTTATAGACTATTCCTTGTCACCTTCTGGGCTTTAAATGAGGCTTCCCGTGGGAATAAAGCATTCCCATGTGAAGTTAATATTCCATATGACTTTGTTTCTGTTCGGGATAGTGGAAGGTTCATTGACTGAAGATATAGAGAAGGTATATATACTGTCTCTTATACACATCTAGATGTGTTGGTAATATTGCAATATTCCATTTAGGTGATGTATATCAAATTAAATACATATACATTTTAATTACATATTAATGGTATTAAATTATATGAGATTATATATTTTGCTGCTAATATAATAAAATTTAAGTTGTGCATACATAATTACATTAATATTATGTAGGCCTACATTAGACATTACTATTATTAATTGTAGTAATCATTAATTGTACATATTAAGCATGATTCCTTCATAAATATTTTGAAATTGCAATCTATTCAAAACAAACATAAAAGGTTATAGTAAGAATCGTATGTTCTAAGTTATAAAAGTATAAGTTTGATAGGTCAATAATTTCTCACGTATTTCTTGTTTGTTTTTCCAGTAACAATTTTCAGATGCATCATAATTTCCAATCTTGAATGTAATTAAAATTTTATCTACTTAGTTTGTAAATATTCATTGATTCTTACGTCTTAACTAAGAAACCTGGCTTCATTTCGGCTCAACTTGTCCGTGGTGCAACAATTACTGCTCGTGTTGGTGAGAAAGAATCGCATAAAATTGCGATTCTCGCTAATCACTTGACAAAACACGGCCGTAAAAAAATATACTCTTCGCTTGTTGGCTGGCAGGAGGTGATGTATGAATGGCATTGAAAATCACAAGAGGGTGTTCTTGATTGTCGAAAATGGCGCAATGATGACAGCGTGAGAATGCGCTTGGGACGTTGTCTAGGACAGCAATCACTTCGTCTGTAAGCCACGGTCTTCCTAATCACTACTGTGTTGCGTAAATGGATTCAAATTGCTCGTGTTATGGCCATGTTCGCACCTATGCCATCGTCAAATTGTGTGGAACGTGTCATCCTGGGAGTTGAAAGCCATCATTTCCCTATTCATCAATCTGTTTTTATCACATTTGGTCTGCTGTTACAAATTAAGATTGCTTAGAAACGGTATGTGGCAAATTTGGATGCGAGGCCCGTGTGAAGTTTTGAAGGTCGTAAACTCGCTAATTAGCCTGTTTTGAATGTCACAATGAATGAATATTAAAAAAAATAATCATTGTTCTTTCAGTAATTGAAAATAAAAATATATGCTAATCATCCCAACGATGATTAATTTTTACAAATATTTTTGATGTGTCACATGTTTTTGTATATTAATATCTGTGTTTGCATCATGTTGTATTCACATAATTTTGTAATAAAATTTATTATTAAATGTCCTTTATATAATTCTTATAATTAATTATTATTGTTTTTGTAGTTGTTGCTGCTGTAATTAGTTATTTATATTGTTTTATAAAATGTTTTATTATTAATTTTATTATTTCTATATAACTCCCTCAGTTGCTTTTGTAAATATATACCATATATTCTGTATTAAAGTTGTGTTAGACAATTTCTTATGACAACTTCAAATGCAAAAGTTTTAGCGTAATGTACAGCATTCATTACCAGAAACTTCCGTTAAATCCTCTTCTAATGGAAGCATCTTCCTTTCTGAAACCCTTGTACTGTATCATTAAAGTAGTTGGAATTACCTACCAAATGCTACAAAGGCTGTTTCCAAAGATACAGAAATGGATTCATTCCAACTTTACTACTGAACTTGCCTGCAGACTGAACGTGCATATAAATATAAAACAATACTGTAGGAAAATCAATAAAACTATGAGGAATAGGTTCAAAACAGCCCTGTACAGTGCCCCAAAAAATTAACTTGAAAAGTGTTTTCAAAAAGAGAAACAAAGATAGGGGAAAGCATAAACTTAATTACAACAGAAGTGATCATAGAATTTAATAATCTTTTACCTTAGTTTATTATGTGATTAATATTATAAGTACATTCACATCCACATCCCAACTATAAAACTATTAGGAATATGTTCGAACATATCCCTGTACTACTAATGTATACCCATAGAAATGAACTTGATAAGTGTTTTCAAAAAGAAAGAGACAGAAAGGAAAAACCATAAACTCAAACACAACAAAAATATAAGATCATAGAGACCTTTTGCCTTTAAAATTAATTAAAAGTCCATTCACATCTCACAGAAAAGTACAGTAACTTTTTTTTTCACAATTAGGAACCATGCATTGTTTCTTCAGTCAATATAATAAAATATTATGCAATAAGATATAGATAGATAAAATACTGTATATTCTTGTGTACAAGGCTTAAAATAGCAAATTACAACAGAAAGCAGGGTGTCGTCTTATACACGCCCCATACAAATTCTTTTATTTTAAAATCATGTTCGTTTTAGTGCGGTTTGTCCGTAACATGCAAATTTACTACTGAAATCTACTAACTGTTAGCATGGTCACCATATCAAGGGCGGCGCTAGTGGGGGTTCTAGGAGGGAAAGTACCCCCAGTTGGGGACCCCTGGACCCCCGCTTGGACCCCGCTGTTGGAGTATTTCCAGCAAGGTTTTTGGGGAAAAATCAACTCTCGAAGTACAATTCAAGCATGCCTTACTAAGCTGTGAACCTTCCAATTTTGTGTTCAAGGAATGGGGGATGGGGGTGTTATACTGGAAGAACTTCTGGCTTTACAAAAGGCATGCTACCTAGGCATAGGTTGGAAGATCAGACAAACTAGGCTTAGCCCAATTAGTTTTCAATTAATAAATTATATACACTGTTTTTGGTTCGCCGTCGTAATAATTTATGTACGAAAGTGCGTACTTCAGGCCCATTGGTTCATCAATCCATGGAAGAAAGACTACATATCTAATTACTAAATGTTGTTGGAATATAATAATATATTGCTTGTCTTTGATTTTTTTTCCCTCTATGATAGAATGAGATAAAATTACCTGACCTTTTTTCAAGAGAGGGAAAACCTTGATTTTTGAAGAAATTAAAGGTCATTAAATGACTCCTCAGAAGTTGGGAAAGCTCGTTTCCGACCATCTAGGAACCAAAACCTAGACCCTTTTTCATTTTGGGGTTTTTTGGAAATATTCTGAACCCCCTCTTTTTAATCCTGGATCCACCCCTGCATTTTTTGGGCACGGAATGGAAAGTAGATCTTTTAACATAATGGCTAACCCCTATTAAAAGGACATTCCTTGGTCCCAAAGGTGTCGCCTTAATGGGGTTTCTACTGTAGCTACAGCTACTCAATTTATTTTCTTACAGGTCTGAAGGGGATTCAGCTCTCTGAAATTAAGTCAACATTTGTAAAAGACTGCTTACATAACTTACAGTCATCACATTCATCTAGTAACACTTCACTGTCACCAAAGTGTCAATGTCCAGTTAATAAAAACACCTTGACTGACCATCAAGTCTTCTGTGGTCAGCTAGAGCCAAGTCATATGACAAATTTATCCAGTGGTCAGTTCCAGATTTCATCATCTGGTGAGTATATATGTTTCAATACAAAGTTTTTCATGTTAATAATTTGATTGCTTAAATGCATCATGTTGGCTGCAAAGCATGTTATACACACATAACCATCCCCCCGATGAATACTAGTAAACGCAGACCAATTTAATTTCATAAATGTTTGTATTGCAACCAAGTTCTGATTTATAATATATGTGTAAGTGAAGGGGATTAATTTAAAGTAGATGGAGTGACGGGCCTAAGGGGCACGAGCGGCATGAATGAACTAGCGACTCTTGCAAAGCTACTTGTTTGAATGTCTTTATGTTGTATTCATGATTTACTGGTCGGGATGATTGAACTGCAGGGGTCAGGCTTATGGTAACCTAAGCTAAATGCCATCAGAAATGTGAAATCCAGTTGTAAGGTTGAAGAATTTACTTTTTTGTCCTGTTTACAAAAAAACCCCAATTATCCTTGTGGGACAGAAGTAATGAGTAATTTAGGTAATCAACAACACATGAGCAGATCCCTCATTTTTAACAGAATTCTGAGGCTCTATTGCAATTAAATTTGAGAGTATTATCACATTTAGCAACATGATCTTACATCATGTTGCTGAATGTGATAATACTCTTACATCATTGACTCTTTGTGCCTTGAGCAATGACTGTAGAAATGGTAACTTATAATTCAATTGATTAATTATATGTTGGAAAATAATTGTAAGATTATGCAACAAACAATTTGCCTTTATAAATACAAAATATTGGTGGAAGCTACCGGGACCCCGGATGTTGCCAAATGGAGTGGCCCAGGGTGACAGTGATGCTGTTTTCGCATCCTCCTTTTCTGCTCCTGTCTGTTACTAAATGATTCTTGCGTTGTTGTGAAAATGTTTAAATTAATAATTAAGTTATAAAAACAATTAATTAATTATTATTAAGTTAAGTGTAGTTTAAGCTTTGAAGCTTAAACTGTTGCATCTTTATAGCAACAGTGCACAAAAATTTTCATTATTATTATTAATATTATTATCATTATTATATAATTTATTTCTGCAGTGCATAAACACAAAAATACATTCTGCTTGAAGTATCTCCTGTCTCTTATACACATCTAGATGTGTATAAGAGACAGTATACCTGTTTTGTCTCCCAAATCAGAATTTGTGATCAATAACTGCCGAAATTAAAGGCTGAAGATCAGAGTCTATTACGGATATAAAAAAATTATCATCACTGAGTTTGAAAAGTTTTAAGAAATGTTTTTATTGAAAAAACTAATAATTTACAACTATTAGAAAATATAAAATGCTCCTAATTCTTGGCCTAACTCATAAAGAGACAGTGCATGGGTTGATAATCCCAACATTTTTGTTGTGTATTTTTTACACTTGAGTGTTTTGCATTTGTTGATAATAAGTTTCTTAAATACATTATGTAGATTTTATTAACTATAATTAAATTTTCTGTTAATAAGTATTCCACCCATCAATCTCCAATCACTAGCCAATAGGGAGTACCGAACTCCCACCCCCTCTGTAATATGCCTCTTGATGCTTAGCTTGATGCACCATGCATACACACACTCGCCTATGCAAATATCATGCCCTTCCCTTTCAAATTCAGTACATATCCACCCATCCATAATGGCAGGGTGTCTACATCTCAAAAAAAGATATAATATAGCAGAAAAACTTACAATGTATAGAAAAGAACATACTATAAATCTATATTTTTACACCAAAAATTACTTTGTTGTTTTTTTTTTTACAAATATGTATTTTCTGTAACTTATGACCTACAGAGACACATGTATGCAGGCTGGCTATTTCTTGCTGAGTTATGTCCAAAAGAGCTGCCACGATAAAAAATGATGAATATCCAAAACAGTGGTGCAAAAGTAATTAAGACACCAATGGATTCAGTTCAGTTTACAAGAGCTTGAATAGCTGGCAGTTTATCTATTATGCCCAATGACCCATCTTTTAATAACCTCTTCGAAGTCCATTCTTTTGTGTTTATGTTGTTTCCTTTTTTCATTTGTCTTGTTGTTAACATCTGCAAGTTATTAGGTAATGTGGGAAGAAAGTATGAAGATTGGTTTTTTATTGCCCCATTAAAGATGTAGATGATTACTCCTGCAGGCTACACCCGATTCATTTATCATATTTTCATCAATTAATAGGTTCTTATTTTTTTGTTCTTAAATTCAGTTTTCTGTATCGAGTAAAGTGACGATAGTTTCTAATTTGCTGATTACACTTTAATTGAAATACAATATTTATAATGATAAATACATATTTGCAGTGTGTGTATGTGTGTATTATCTGTAGATGTAAATTATTGCATACAGTATATGTATAGTATGTATTACCTTTGATTAATATATTTATATATTACTTTGATATATATATATGTATTATATCTGTCTCTTATACACATCTATATAACATATTATAATGTATAAGTAAATATAATATTAAAACATAGCAATAAAACATAGGTTTGAATGGTACACATAATATACTGTATAGTATATTTAATTAATACACTCATATTCCAAACACAACCTGTGTTCTTCCTCAGTGCGAGGACAACTGCATCACATTACAACACAGTTGAGTATATCGATGTAGAAAAAAAGGTTTGTGTTTCAAATATGATTACTAAATGCTGTCCATCAATGGTTTATACTCGTATCTGATATAATTCCATTAACTCTCAATCTCAGCGCATACAACCTGTTGTGGCAACAACTTAATTACCAGGAAAAAATTTGAATATCACAGTTTTTATGACATTTAAAAAATTATTTTATTCTATGTCTATCATCTAGTAAGAATAATTATTAAATACATTCAGGTAATGGTTCCCTTACTTGGCGTTAGTAAATTTTTTTATCTCAGAGTGAAAAAAAAACGGAAACAGCTGAGATGAAAGCAAAGTTCTGATGATCTTAATTGCAGTCTTACATCCCAAGAGGGATTTGAGAGGATTAATTTTATTAATTGATTACAAAAGATGTTTATAGGTCAGCTGGTTTAAAGTGGCGGACTTTTTTACGTGCCATATTCAAATGTAGAGTGCAGCATAACTTTCAGAGGGCGTGTCTTAAGGCCAACTCAAACAGCGTCGTATGACGCAGCCCGACGCGATTTGTTGTCGCGTTGGGTCTGTGTGAGTTAAACGCAGACGCGATGGTGTGCGTCGGGGACAGTCGCGTCGTAGAATATTAAACATGTTTAATATTTCTCACGACGGCTTAAGACTGTCCCAGTGTGCTTTAGATGTAACAGTGTGCTCCATCTGAGCAAATTGCATGAGCTGTTTTTTCTATTTATAGTGAATTTCTCGTGTTCAGATTTTTCTAGAATTGACGATTTACACCATTCTAAGAATTGTACTTGGCCGCAAGTAAATATTCATGAGATTAAATTAGAAAATATGTGGGCCATTCATTTAGCCTGCTTGCAGCAGTCCCACGACACCCACATTGCCCGAAAGTTGTATATACTGAAGCATTTTTAAAAATTATTGGAAAACTTACACTCAGACAGTTTGTCCGATGTCCTGTTGATAGAGCAATTTCATGCTTAGATTAATTTTTTAGATTTCTCAAAGATTCTACCATAGGCCTATGGTAGAATTCGAGAAACCTATGAAACTATGAAACTGGTTCGCGGAATGATCCACTAAGTGGGTCTATGGTGTGACTCCGTAAAATTGAATGAATATAAATATGTCTGATGTCAATATCGTTATTGTGTTTGCCGCCCTCTATCATGCATTACTGGCAGACAATGCTGGACATTCTATTTTCAGCTTATGTCTCTTCCAGTCTTTTTGTGCAGTATTTCCCATAGGAATCTAATAGAGATTTTATATGCAACTCTATAATGAAAGCTTATTTGCCATTCATATCAGAGAATGATTGACGCCTTGTTATCTTTTCAATTTATGTAAAGATTGTTTTGAAGTGAAATTGCCAATGCTAATATATATAAAAATGATAATGAAAGAAAAGTAGTTTTTATTTTTCTACATTTTTAAACAGTGAATTGTACAACTTTTGCAATATTTATTATATTTTAATATGCAATTATCATTTCACAATTCATTTTTCCAGTGAAATGAATAAAAGTATTCCTTAATAAAAGTAATTATTAAAAAAAAAATAGTGATAAAATAAAGAAAGATATTTATTAAGGTAAGAAAAATAGGAATTTCAAAAAACAAAGAAAACAGTAAATAAAAAAGTAATTATTTGGAAAAAATAATAATAAAAGTACAGTAAAAAAGTTAAGAAAAAATATGTATTTCAAAAAACACAGAAATCAGTAATAGAAATAATGTTGTATGTACAAAATGGTAGAAGTGAATAAAAATTATGGTAAATGTACGATAAAAATAATGATAAAAAAGTTTTTAATAAAGATAAAAATATAAGTAATGATAAAGATACAAAAATATAATCAAAAGAAACACACATCCTGAAAATGATATACCTAGATTGTTTTTTCATCCTCAGCACTCTGGTGAAAAATTTTGGCAACAATTCGAGACCACCTTTGGACCTGAAAATTTGGGGTGGTCTTGGGGTTGGTCTCCAATTAGAGGGCTTGCTTTGTGTTAAAAGGTGAAGATTGTTATTTGGGTGTTTCGAAAAGTGGTCTCAAATTAGAGGGGTCTCGGAATTAGAGAAGTCTTAAATTTAAAGGTGCACTGTACTAATGGGAGCATACGTTGGAAGTGCTAAATAGCTGAGTATTTATATTTATACTGTTAGTACCAGGACCAAAGGCATAAATTGTATTTTAGGATTTTGATCTATTATTAAATTATCTAAATATATATACAGTACATATATATTTTTGGTATATCTTAGTTAAACAGTGTTGATGAGTGGCCACACAATATTTATTTAATTTATAAGCCATGAAATACTCATACCTTGGCCTGAAACATAGCGCGATCCACTTCACAACCTGTCAACAGCGCAAGCTAGGGTAGCTAAGCATGGCCAGCCGAGAATGGTCAGCATGTGGTTTTCAAACCCTTGGCGAGTAGATTTTTTCCTGCCTGATTAATAACACGATTTGAATTATTCAAACTTTGAAGTCAAATGGTTTATCCTAGTCACTTTATGAAAGTTGACTTGTGCAGAGTTGACTGTACATTTTGTTAAGCTTTTTAAGTAAACACTATTGATTTTGATAGTGACTGCTTTAAGCATGCTATTAACGCTTTCTTTTTGTATTTTTAATGTCATTACACTATGTCCTTAGACCCGTAGAATTAAAATGGTAGCTTCAATAACAACTTTCTTTGTGTGTGTTTGCATTTAGCAGGGCTGTTGATGCGTTCTTGATAACAAATTTATGAATATATACTATTGTGTTGTGGGTTATGAAAACATAAATTAAATGTTGACTATCATATCAATAAAACATAAAATTTAATTAAATAAAATATAATCTTCTGGCATTCCATGATAGTGGTGGTGGTCGCAATGTGGACACTTCTACCTTTACCCCAAATAGATAATGTAGTCACTGGTTGCCAAATATTGTAGCAAAGAATTACTAAAAATAATAATAATCTTTAAAAAAAAACCCTTCATTTATGTTTTTACAATCTGAAAGACTAGGTATTTGTTATAATTTATATTCCTCTATATTTTGTGGTCTGAAAAAGTAAATTTAATTAACTTCTCTTTTCTGTTGGTTGTGTTCACACACATGATAGATATTTTACTGTTATCGCCAGCAAAGATTACCCTAAAAAATACTGAAAGAAAAGACTAGCGGATTCATAATTTTTTCTGGAGTATAAATCAGTGACCTATGGTAAGAGGGGAACCAAATGTCCGAGATGAAGGTTTTGGGGTATTGTGGGCGTTCAAGTCTATGCACCCTACAAGTTTTTGAGTTTGAGCAATTTAGATCTCTTTTTGTTTATATATAATTTTCACACTTGGTTAGTGACTTTTTGGCTGCAGCCGGGGAATGGGGATGCCCTTTTCGCCACCCACCCTAGAATGTAGCATGAGAGTACTAGATATAGCGGGAGAGGGGAGAGGAGGATGTAAACAGCCCCTCCGATAGCCTACCCTCCATTTTTATGCCAACTCCTATATGTTATATGAATCTTTTAAATTGTTCCTACTACAAATGTTAATTGTAATTTTAAAATGCAAGTAAAAATGCTCAAACATGCTTTAAGGGAACAATAATGAAGGAATAAGAAGAAATTAAAAAATGTTTAGTTTTAGTGTGTCATTTATCCAAATTTTTCTGTAAAAACAATGTATTTTATAATTTTTCTACTATGCAAAAAAGACCATTATCTTCCTTTAACTAGACTTACTTTAAAACAAAAAACTATTTTTTACCATGGCCATGAAATCTGGAAAGTATTACTGAATTATATTCGGTATTATAATCTAGTCTATGCTTGTATTTAAACCAGCTTGTAAAAATCATTTCTTGCAATTCACCTGATTTTTTCTCATCCATACTTACTTGATCTACTTAAGTTATGCTTCTGTATAATTATGAATAATTATTATATATTCATTATTTTCTTACATTTTACATCTGTATTACTGCGGAATCAACTATTTCAAAGATTTTACACTTTTTCTGGATTTCGTCTCTTGTTCTTACTTTATGGTACAGTATTCAGGCCTTCATTTCATTATGTTACATTTTGTTATTACTTTGTAATGATATATTTGTTAGGCCAATATCATTTCATCTGTATACCATGTATTGAACAAGTGGAATAAATTGAATTGAATTCAATTTAATAGTGGTTCACTTGAACAAATCAGTAAATACAAATATATAAGTCCCGACCAATTAATACTGAATTGTAACAATCATAACACATTATGTTATTTGTTAACTTATGCGTGTCAATTTACGTTGGTATTAGTTGATAACCATAATGACTCATTAAACGTACTCTACTAATCAAGGGTATCAACAGTTGAGCATACTTGTTCTTATTTTCGACGATACAGCTGAATAAATACGTAGTAGGCCGGGAGGAAAAAACCAGGCAAGGTCGGCATTAGACACCTTAGGCATTGCGGAGCCGAAAAACCAACACTACATTGATTACGAATTTGACACAATTGTATGTCACACCTCTCATTGCTCTTCTAAATGAAATTACCGCTGAGTTATTGATTGCTTTTGTCAGAGCTGTTTGCAAACGTGCTACGGCTGGCCAAAATCAATGAGCTCCAGCCACTGTGGCTATCTCGCTTCAAATAAGAATCCAGACTTAATCAGTCGGTCATTAAAAAAAATTACCAAACTGGAAATCATTCTTTAGCATACTGTAATCGAAGGTGACGATTTCACTGACTCGAAAAGCAGTTAATGCGGGTAACATTATTTGTAGTACTGGCTTGGTCTTTATTACCCTTCTTTGTAATGTAACAATATTTATGTAATTTTTCTTGAGTTGCGACATAATATTTGCCAACCCCAGCCCTAGTTTCCTCTGAAAAGTAGTGCGGTATAACTAATCCCATGCACTGAGCTCCCACAGTCTGAAAAGTAATAATCGTACGATATAAATGCGTGGTTTGAATGTTAATATCGCAGTTTAGTTTTAGTTTATAGAGCGATGATAAAATAACAAATCCACTTATTACCATCCTCATATTATGTGTATATACTGGTGTATTGTTTTACGTAGGTACTGTACACAGGCATCAACATGACTTAAGACAAATGACATGGTAGAACAAAATTTAAGATGAGTTAATGAACCGCAATTTAATATTTTATATATTTAAAATCACCCTGACTCAAATTTTAGTCTTTTTTGATTATTGATTTGTAGTGGTATCAATAATGAAGTCATGTTTACATAAATTTGCATACATGTATTAACAATTTAATGAGATAAGCTACAGCCAAATCTCTGATGACTTTGGGAAAGCCTGTCACAGCCCTCAGGTCAATAAAGATCATGCCCTAGAAACAAAAATCATAAAATGCTCAATGTTTGGATCACTAGTTTTATGTTTAGCAGGATTTTATTAACTTTCAAAAACTATTTTTTAATTCCCAAATTTTGCTTTTATACAATGATATTTTGCCTGTGTTAAACACTATTGTTTATGCTTCACATTTTGTTAGTATAATGCAACTTTTGTTAAATTTCAGTGAAAACAAACAATTTATTTCATATGAAAACTACTTTAGTGTCAATATCTGCTGGATGAAAGGATGGAATAGTAGGTCAGGATTGGGAAGGGCAGGGAGTGGATCAGAAAGTGCAGGGGTGAGTGGTGGGGTGTGGGGAAGGGAATGGATTGAGAAAGGCAAGGGAGTGGATTAGGGTTGTGGAAAGAAGTGGATTGTTTAGGACAGGTCAGGATTATTACTAAACCTCTGCATCTGTGTTCAATATGAAATCAAAAATGTTTAAAACATAATTAAATATTTATATTGGTCATTCCTATAGGATTTCCCTACAACTCGTATTGGTGTGAGGAGGACAATACTGGTTATCAACCACTATTTTGCTGTGAATGTTTGAAAGAAAATAAAGGCACAAAGATGATAGGATTAAAAGAAGTGCAAAGGACAAGTAATGGCAACAATGTGAGTAGTCGTCTTTATTAATACCTTTATTGACTTTTAATTTACATTCAAATTCAATTTTGCATATTTTTGATTTTTAAGTCAGCTTGTAATTATAAATTAGAATAAAAAAAAAAATTCATTTATCAAATACATAACAATAATATTTCCTTATTGCATAGAAACATAAATTTACTAGTATTGGTAATCTATTTAAGGATTTTTGTAGTAAAAAGTATATAAATCAGAAAAGAAAAACTATATAATGGTTTTAATCTGTGCTTCATTGCAGGTTGATAACTTATTAATTTTTATTGAGCTTTTCATTTCAATTCACTTCAGTTGGTAATTAATTTACAATTCATAAACGGAATAACAGGACTGCACGTCAATGAACACATTAAAATCCATGAAAAGCAACATAACAACAAGAAAATGTAAAAGGACATAAAAAATAAGTGCTGAGTTTTTAACATGTAGTTCTAAATAAAATATTGTGATAAGCCAACTATGACTCCATCTTTTATTCTAAGAAAAAACATGGTAATAAAATTTGGAAGACAGTGAAGCAGATTTTTGTTTTAAAGCAAATAAATAGTATAGCAGTTATAGTATTTGGAATGTGTACTTTAGGAAACATCAGTACATTATTTATGAAACAAATTGCAATATATATTTAAAGTAAGTTATAAGGTGTCATTGCATAATTAGAACTAACAAACAAAAGAGGGGGGTCTCTTCAGTGCATTAGTATTTAATCATTATATCATATCTGTGGGAACCCCTAAAAATTATCGATTTTAATTTTAGTGGTTAAAATACCTATTAAGCCGGGTAATCGTTACGACTGTCGTATGACCATCAGCTGACGAATCCAACTGTGTTGCCTGTAAGTGTTAGACAACACGACGCTGTCTGCTGACTGTTGGTGCCAGTCTCTGGAGAGATAGTCGCTGAAAACGATCCCTTACATGCGCGTCGTGGCATTACGTTCACCATGAAGCTGCGTCTGACAACCGTCAGTGCCCAGCGGAGGGGGGAAAAATTTGATATGTCGTAGAACTTTTTTTTCTAAAATGCAACAAGTTTGTTTGACCAAAAACTTGGGAAGGGTTAATAGAGGTACATCTTTTATTTAAACACTGGGGGAGAAGGTGGACAGATGGGTGGTTAAGTCTGGTTATGCCCTGTTTTTCCCCCAATTTTTTAAAAGTAGAAAATCTGTATCTCATTAACTGTTCTTGAGTTTTTCATTAGCTGTTTCCAATTTCCAATTCAACATCAAATCATTCAGACATTTAGTAATATATTTTTGGAATATCATTTCCATACAACTAGATATTATAGTTATGTTAGCATTCAACAGCGTGCTATTGCTTGGAAAGCTGAACTGCATATGCATAAGCCCATTCCATTTTCATTCGTTCAGCCAAAAGCCTGACTTCATTCAATACATTCTGAAGGCAACTTGCCCAATGAGTTATATCACAATAAAGATTGAGGAAGGGGAAGCCCCTGACACATAAAGCAACATCAATGAATTTAGATAATTTTAGTTTATTTAAAGATATACTGCCAGTCATGAGGTAAAAAAATTGAAAATTTTGATTCCAGATTTGAATTCCTTAATTTGTATTTTTAAATATTAACTAAAAATTAAAAATTTGAATTAAAAAATAAAATTCCCCATCCATTTTCTGAGAGTTAAATAATAACATTCTTGTATTCTTTTGCATAAATTCTAAAATTTGCTGGTAATCAATTTCAAGATTTTTTTTTTATTAAAATGTCTGTAAAAAGGTGGAAACTACATTTTTCGATCTGATTCTTGTTGGAAGCTAATGATTTATTTGATCTTTGCAAATGAGTATCCACAATTTTATTTGAATTTTTGAGGTATTTTTCTGTTGTTTTGACTAATGGTACAAACTGTATTTAACATTATTGTTTCTGAACAAAAAAGTAGCATTGACATGTATGTAGAGAATATTGTAAAGTAAAGAACCCATGTGCTAATTTTTTTAAAGTTTGTTTTTTGTTTTATAGCCCAACACTGAGATATCTGTGACCTTTGTATTTTTAGTAGCAACAATGCAAGATTTCTTAAGTGTATATTTACTGGTATGCTGACATTTTCAACTAATGCAAGTTAATAATAATTATGAATTTTGTTTTGCCAGTTCCAGTAATACAACATATGGTTTTGTTTGGTTTAGTTTACTCAGTGAAAACCAACAATTGCCAAAATAACACTTACTGTAACTACACACAAACAGAAGGTGCATGTAAATTAACACTATATATTCAATTCTCTATTGTATTTGTTTAAGTATGTGTTTTTTCACAATTTGATTAAAAAACCTTATTGTTACTAGAGCATTTAAATTATGTTGCCAGATTGTTTCATTTTAGAACAAGTATAATGAAAGACCCCATGACTTATTACCTTTACCCGAGAAAGATTGAATTTTGGAATAATGCCTTTGTTTTCATATGTTATTATGTTTTCACCTATTAAAATATTCTATTCATATATATATTTTTTTTTTTTTGTGAATAGCTGCTTTGATCCATCTGGTATTTTTGTTATCTTGTTTTTCAAGAAAATTTTAAGGTTCTTTTCATTTAAGTGCTATTGTTGTGGTACATGGTATTAAAACCTAATTTGATTTGAGATTTTTTTAGGGATATTCGAAGGTCACTGTGTATAAATTTTACATATCTAGAAACAAAAATCATTTACAGGTACAATAGGTTTCTACAATCAGCATTGTGTATCAAAAAATTGGATGTCGCTTGTGCATAAAATATCCAACGTAGGTCTAGTCTGTCATGTGCACAAAAAAATCATATAATATCTAGTGTTCGGTATTGTCAAAGAGTTTAGAAAAATTTGCAAGAGGTCCGACTATACTTATTTTGCAAGTACGAAATGAAACGAAATGCGAAGTACTACTGCAATATAAGGGCACCCTATTAGAATTTGTATAGAGTTTGAAACTTAAATAAATGTGTTCTATAGACTTAGCACGGGTTCTACTGTATAGGAAACACCTTTTACGTTGGTTTGAAGGGCACCAGTTAGTTTTGTCCTTTTTTATGTTGCATTTACTTTTTCTTTTTATGTTAGTAGTTGTAATTTTCGCTGTCCTGTATCAGGTTTTTTGATGTATAATGATTTTTAATAAAATCATCGATGATACAATTGCAAGTGTTTACATACCTCAACATGCTGACCTACTGTAGGCCTAGCTAGCTGCGCATATGCACGATTTTACAGTCAGATTTCCAAAAAAGCAATAAAATTCATGTTGGATGCCTTCCATACTCCTAGCACTTTTTAATACCATCATCGCTATCTTCTCAACGTTAAACCTTTTCTCGGCGTTCCGCCTACCTCATATATGTTCCTTTGGCGAAACGAGGTAATTAAAGGCAAATTGTGTTACTTATAGAGTACTACAGTGTTACGCCACAATACCACGTGATGTTACTCCGTTGCTATCGTCAACACAAAATGCATTCAACCGGACGCCATTTTCACCACTGACAAACCATTGATCTCAATTTCTAACGTAATTGTTAAAGTCAGGCTCCGGAGGAAAACAATTTCTTGTTATGTTGTAGAACTGATTTTTCTAAGACAGAAAAAAGTTGTTTGACGAAAAACTGGGGAACGGTGAATGAGATACAGATTTTTTAATATTTAAAAACTGGGGGAATAAGGGGTGTCAGATGTTGTAATTTAGTTTTTCTTTGTAAATTTTAATTGATGATTAAATATGTGTCGATAGCTATTATAATGCAAGTTTTTGTGTTTTTAGTACATTTTAATGGTAAATTATTAGGTTTTAAAATGCCTATTCCAGAAAGCCTATTCTAAACCATTAAGATTATGTCATTCAGGTGTAGTTGACAATAGAAGGTGCCACCTGGTGTTGTGACGACACGATTGTTGTACTCTATAATGTAAAATCTCATTTCCAGCCATCTAGGAATCAAAATTTTCCCGGGGGAGGACCCCTCCCCCTTTCATTTTGGGGTTTTTTGAACATTTTGAACCCCCTCTTTTAAATCCTGGATCTGCCCCTGATCCTGATGCAATACTTGGCTATTGCTTACAGTATGAAGTATTACTGTATTATTCCATACACAGTATTGTGTACCCAATTTCATTTACCAATAATATTCGAAAAATAATACAAAATCCTTTTACTTACTTATTCATGGTAATGGTAATGGTGGGATATTTGTAGTGCGCCTTCCACAATAAAATCGTCTCAAGGCGCCGAAAAAATGTAGGACCATGAATTTAAAAAAATTAAATTATATTATAACGGTTCATTAATTTTATAGAATAGAGACCATTAAAAAAAAAAAAGTAATTGATCTAATCTTGCATTGTGCTAATTGGCAGACACAATACTGTAATTTCAGGTTTCGATTTTTATTTCTTTAAAAAGATAATTACGGATGCTATATTTAGCTACTTGATAATGAACCACCCATTGACTGATGAAAGTGTTATATCTCATTTCTATTTGGTTTTGCAGCTTTTAAGATCATTAGTTGTCTGCTGTCAAACGATAAAATATGCTGTAATAATATCGTTGAAAATATAATGATACGTGTAGAATAATTAGTATAATAAAATAGGCTTAGTTTAGAACTTAATAATTATTTAGCGTAGTTTTGTCCTTTTTGATTTTTTCTTCAACTGAATTTTCAAATTTTAAAAAAAATTCTCATTTACCAGTATGTTTTATATTTTAGGTTTAAAATTTTATGTGTTTGTTTATTTTTCAATATATGTTTGTGATTGACAGCTATGGCTCCATTTTTCCTGAATTATTGCGAAGTATCAATGTTATTTCTGTTCTATAAAATTATATATACATCTGCTGTCAACAGCTTTTATTTATTATAGGACAAACAAAACTCTTGTGTCCTTTTACTGCATGTGTAGCTTCTGAAGATGAAACTTAAGGTTTTCTCATTAAAATTTTGTATTCTTTTCATTTTTTATTTATTTATTTTTTTGTTCAGTTTTCCAAGACTGAGGAAGGTACTTGTGGAAACATATGGCACTTTTGAAAGCATGTAGAGCTTGTGGGTTGCAATAGAAAGGTTGAGGGTTTGAGATTGGGTTTTCCAAGACTATTATTTATACGGTTCCTTCCACCTACAAGTACGTTTGCAACAGTTGGATAGTGTTTTTATGCTCTTCGGGTGTCTAACCCCGGTGTTCTTAAAACAAACTTTAGTTTTAGTTGGAGCTAAAACTTAAAAATTATGTCATTTCGTATTCTTAAAACGGACTTCGACTATCAATAAGATTAATGACACAAACCTTGACTAAAACGATACCTCCGCAGGCCGATTTTTTTAGTCAGCCAATGGTCAGGCTAAATCGCCGACTTGAAATATTTACCCAACTAAAAACGTGTTTTTTGTAAATCACGATAAAGTGAAACAAATAAAAATGGTTGTATGCGCAGGTTTGATATATCTTCTGTGTGTTAAACAAAAGAGACATCAAGTTTAGCTTCCAGAAGGAGAAATTAACATGTTTTCCTAGTTACATGTGATAATTTTTTATTTGCATGAAATCACCTCGCATTGCAGTCACGTAGCTTCACAATAACAACAACAAAGATGGCACCACCCTCGCTCGGGCTCAGCTATCATAGTTCTCCAAAGAAAGCAAATTTTCAGTGACACTTCAAATTCTCTATTGTAATATGTTAAAAACTAATATAGTTATTATAGAAAATTAATTAAGCAAATGGTAGTCTATTATGAATTATGAGGAAATAGGTTTTTGAACCACAGACGGCAGCTTAATATTCATCCGCGTTACCGGATCTCTAAAATTTCGTCAGCTATTAAAGTTAGCCTTTTTCATTGGTTAGTTTGATAGTTGTGTCTTGCCAGTCGTCTTCAATTGGACTAAAACTAGGACTTGATTTAGTCGTAGTTAAAACTTCAACTACGTTGTTCGTGAATACAAATTGAAGTTGAAGTTGCAACTAGCACTAAATGAAGTTCTAGTTCGAAGTTCGACTAAAGTTTGTTTTAAGAATACGGGCGTTAAGCAGCCCCGAAGTGCTCTTCCTACCATTATTACTACCCAGCATTCTGGGCTTATTTAATAGGAGAATCATAATCACCAGTATTACTACTATAGGCTTAATTTCTAATTGTATAAACTAAAGATGTTTTTGCACAAACCTGGTGTGGTTGATGACAAAAATGTGAAATGTGTAAGACTCAAACCTATGAACTCCAGAGCTAATAGCCAGGTACCATACTCCTAAACCACCAAGTTTGCATTGATAATTATGTGATGGATCAATGATAAATAGTTGTCAAAATGCTGAAGCTAGGTTTGAAAATTGAGGCTGAGAGATTTGAGAGGCCAAAAAATGGGAACATTTTTTGTCATCCAAATATTTTGAATAGAGAAGGAAGGGGTGTCATTTGTTTGCTGGTAGCATAGTAAAGGAATATGGAAATAATATTCCTACAACAAAAAGAATTACAATGCTAGAAAAGGGAAAAGAAATATTTGTATGTATATTAGACAGACTTAAATATATATATTTCTCTTCAAATTTAATTACGATTTTTGCCAACCTTATAAACATTTATTGTTCTTGCTGACTGAATAAAAAAAGTTGAGCGACTTAGTGTGTGTATTTGATAACATAAGTCGTTAATATCACGAGATGGAATGTTTAGAAAATTTAGCTGGTGGCAGCAAGCCTGTCTTGTGAATCATCGGACCAAATAAAATTTTACAAGATGTCTGAGGTCTTAGATAGCGTGTTGCCGAATATTTATTAGATCTGTTTATTCTACAAATAGAATTTAAAGAGATTAAGCAACCATAGATATTTGTTTGTTTATTGGACATTATTTAAATCATATTAGGTTTTCAGTTCTTTTCTTGTGTTGGAATTAAGCTTTGATTTTTGTCCGCAACTACTGTCTACACACCACTGTTCTGATACACCCACTTACACGCCACTATCACACTACTACTACGACTACAGTTAAACTTGCCTAAGTCGACATTGCGTAACCCTAATAATTTTTAAGTTGATCTTATTTTACATGCCAAATTGTCCATTAATTAACAATCCGTAAATCAAATTTTTCCAAGTCGAACAATTTTTCAACGGCATTTTGAATTCGAATTAAGCAAGTTCAACTGTATATTTAACCAATATAACCTTTTCAGAAGTATAATCTTGCATTACTGTTACGACTATCTGTGATCAATATTTCTTAACATTCCTACTACAGTATCAGGCAGGGGTGGAACCGGGGGGGGGGGAGGCCAGGGCCCCCCCCCCATAAGGGAGAAAAACCACAATTTGTCGGGGAGAAAAAAAAATTATATGTATTTTCTACATATTAGTAGACTCTAAAATCGTTTAAATAAGTCATTGAAACCACTAAATTCTCAAAATTTTCGTGGGCTTTGCCCCTGGTCTGCTTTCCACCAATCTTTCAATAACAATGTTTGCTCGTTGGGCAAATCCTGGCGCCACCCCTGGTATCAAGCATAAACTTCCAATAATGATTCATTATGTGTTGGATTTTTATACCATTTCCTACCAACAAACAATTTTATCAAAAATATATATATATTTTTAAATTATATACCATAACCATGTTAGGTATCATAAAACCTGGGCTAATAAGCATTTGAAATTGCTTAAAAATTACAAATTAATAACAGTGGTGCTCTGGTCTTTGATACCCTTCCTGTACACTGTTTCTATGACCAAGGCCCATTTTTTAGGGATGGGATTCAAATATGCCAGTGTTATGGGTTTGTTTCTACTGAAAATTGAGATAGAAACAGTCCTTTATCAATATTATTTTTAGTAATCAGGAGATAAGGACACTAAAACTTTAAAAAATAAATAAATAAAAGTATGGTTCTTTGAAACAATAAAAGAATCCATATTTTTTTCATTTGCACTCTAAATTTAATTCTGTTAATTTGGCAATATTGGGTTTTTTCTCTCAACTTCCAATTGTGTTTTCAGTAATAAAATATAGTGGATTTGCTGTGCTCCACTGCCGTAAAAAAATAGGTTGTAAGTTTTGTACACAACAGTTGTATTATACTGAGGGGCAGCTTTGAATATTTGTACAGTAGATACATTGAAATAGAATTGAAATGAGAAAAACCAGTCTTTCACAAAAGGTATGTATGTAGTTAGGGTTGATGATTTTATAAAATAATTTCTGTTTTAACGATATCATTTTTTTATTTTTTGTTTTTCCTAGATATGGTTGTTCTCCAAACATCTGCATTACTGTCACCATGTCTTCCCAGCAATGTCAGGCCAAGTCACCTAACACACTGATTATCTCAGCACTGTTGACTTCATTTGATTGAATCACTTCAAGTATTGACTCCATTAATTATGCTATTGACTATATCATTTTAACTATTGATTCAATTACTTTATACTATTGACTCCATTACTTATAATATTGTCTTACACTGTTGGACATATATTTAACTCAGTAGTGACTCACTACCCAGCATAATACTATAGTCTCTAGACGAGACTTTCTTAATTCCTTGTTTCGCGTACTTAGTTTTTTTGAATCTTATCGAAGGAAGGCAGAATAAAAATAAATATTGTTTTCTTATTTAGCAAATAGTTTTGCCAAAATCATCCAGACAGAGAAGAAAATAAAAATAGAATTTTATTGGTGAATGTAAAATAAGATAATTAAATGCTTCAAATTTATATAATTAAGAAGAAGTATACATGTCTTATCTTTGGAAATTTCCAGGCAGCGGAGGGCGTAATAAAAAGAAAGAAATTTCCACTTTTCCTTGGCGGTGGGTGCGCTAATTGGCCAGAAAGAATATTTTATATTTATTCGAAATCATTAATATTTGCAGTTTGGCTGGTTCGCTAAGCAAGGTGTAAAAAAAGCCTCGCCTTGTGTAACAGCAGTCAGAAACGTTCTCCTTTATTTAAGCCCAAATATTTTCATATTAGTTCAAATAAATATATGTATAAATAATAATATGGAAGTAATATGTATTAGTGGTGAAATGTTTTAACTGACACTGTGTTTTTGTCAGATACATTGATTTATCTCAATTGGATTTATAAATTTATTTATTATCAGGCATAATTCACAACAAAAAAGAAAAGTAACTTTAATTAAAGATGTATTGTCCCCTGAAAGTGGACATTTAAAATTTTTTAAATAATTGTGAAATTAACTTGCCCATTTTGTAGTAACATACAAATTATTACTTGAGCAAAGAAATTATCGAATTCTCATTTTTTGCTGTAAAATTATGGGTAAACATTTTTTAAATACACTAAAGTTAATGTAAAAAATAATTATGATTTCTTTTTGTATTTTGCATGGGAGAATACATCTTACAATAATCTTAATCTCAATAAAAAGTAACTCTTGCTTCTGAAATCATTGTAAACTATTGTTGAAGAAAAATTTAAAAAAAAAAAATTATTTACAGCAGATTGTGTTAATTATTGTTATATAAGACAATAATAATGTAGGTAAAATCAAGGACATTGAGCCTTTAAGGCAAAACAAAACTTAATAAGTTCTTTTTTTAAATTAATTAAATCTGTAGAATCGATGAAAAGATGGATTTAAATAGATATGAATATTCATATCATGTGTGATCGCATGGCACTCAATCAGCATTTAATTTGACTTCATTGTCAAGTACTCTTAAACCTTAATGTATGCATCACTATATAGGCATGTTATTGTTATCATTATGATTATTATTTTATTATTGTTTTCATTATTAATATGGTATATTATTATTATTATATCAATATTATGTTCATTACTACCAGCTTCATTATCACCATCATCATCAGTATCACCATCATCATCATTATCATCTTCATCGTCATCATTATCATCTTCATCGTCATAATCATCATTATCATCATCCTCGTCATCATTTATTATCATCATGATCATCGATATCGTCACCTTATCACCACCATCATCATCACCATCATCATCATCGTCGTCAGTGATCATTATTATTATCGTCCTTATTATCATCAACATCATTATCATCAATTCCTCATAGTGAGGACTTTCCATTTAGACTACAGATCCCCCCACCAATTAAGGACCCCTCCAAGTCAAGACCACCTCCAAGTGAAGGCAAGTTGATTGGCCAAGCGGTTAAGGCAGGGGCATCACAACCTACAGCCATAATATTGGCCTATGGTTCTTGTAGTGGAACAAGTCATGTACACTTTGAAGAACCCAGTACATCTTTTGAGATGAGTGTACTGGTCCATCCAGCCCATGTTAACCTGCAATTATTGATCATTAGAACCTACGTTAAAAAAAAAAGACCACTTTTCTATGATTTCAAATTAACAAATGTTTTTTATCTTTATTATTCTAACCAAAACTGCTAAAAACCATGAAAACCCCAGCCCAAAAGTGGAGGGAGACCTGAAATTTCTGTATTAAGCTAGCTAAAACACTTGAAAAATAAATTCAATATTTGAACAACTTGCTTTGTAAATTTGTAAAACTAATAACTTTCAATTGATACTAGAATTAATAAATGCATAAGTAAAACCATTGAATTATTATTATTTGCATAGGTCTAGTACATTAAATTGATAATCATTACTGAGACTTTCGTTAAAAAGAAAGTGTACACATCGGCAAAACACCAAATTGTATTAAAAACATAATAGTATATTGCTTAAGCACCCACTCTGATATAAGGCTATATATTTTTACACTATAAAAAATGTGTAAAAAAAATATAGGCCTATAAATAAATACCCATAGTACATACGAGGACATAAGCCTATGTGTAAAAAAAAAAGAGTAAAAAGTCTTACATGAAGTATGAAACCACAATCATTATATGAACAGACAAATTTATATTATATTATCTTTGATTCAAATGTACAGATATCAGAAAAAAAATGTAGCTAAAATGATCTAAAAATACAGTTAAAAAATATAGTTCGGGCTATAAACTATTTGATCTGTTTAGTAGCTTTTCTGGAATAATTAATTTTTAATTGATTTTAGGGTTTTTTATCAGTTTAAGTAAAGACAGTATTATACAGTCCATCCTCCAAATAGAGACCAACTTTGAGACCGTGTCAAAGACCACGCCAGTGGCGTGGTCTTGGAGTTTGATCCCCAGTTAGATTGTAAGCTTTGTGTTTAAAGATTGACAATTGTTATAATTTGGTCTCGAATTATCGGATAATGAACTCTTACCTTTAAATTGATGACCTGCAGGCGGCCTATAAGTTTCTGTTTTTGTATACGAGTGTTTATAATTAAATAATGATGAATAAAGGATTTTTGTCGATTGTTGCAGAGTGTGATCGTCGTTGTTTATGATATGGTTTGATTTTCTATGTCATGGTAAATGTAATGTTGGTATTGATCATGGTTGCTTCAAGCCTCTTTTCCACATGCGAAATTCGCGCGATTCGATGGCGTCGGTTCATGCGCATGCATATACACAATTCTGTCGGAGTTTTCGCTTCAGCGAAGTCGGTAGTTCGAACTGTTTCTACTTTTTTGCGAAGTGAAAACAGTGCGCAAACAATCAGAGCTCAGGAACCGAACCGACGCCTTCGATTCGCGAAAATATATTCGCCTAGTGGATAACAGGCTTCAAATTGTAAAATTGTTTCGTCAAAAGAAAAAACAACTTTAAAAAAATCATGATCTCATTAGCCGTTCCCGATTATTTCTTAAGAGACTTAGCTTAAATATACGTCTGTATATTTGTACAGAATATCAAAACAATTGTCCTCGGAGGCCTGGCTTTTTAGAGCACTGAACAAATTTTAACAGCTCATGGCATATAAAGTGCAAATAATCCAATATTATTATAATTCCTTCAGAAGACACAATAGACGATGTTGTAAGGCAGTACGTCAAACTTTAAAATTCTCATAGTAGGTCTATTTAGTTAATCGTTCAGTTTTTCTACAATTTTGTACCATTAGGTTTTCTTACTTGAATAAGTAGATTGTTAGATAGTACAGGTAATTTCATTTTGCGCACATGAATTCGATATTAGGCTTGTAAACGAGGGTAAAAGGCAGTAAATTGGTTGAAGATACGTTCACTATAGTAAGTGATGCATTGTGTTGTGGAAAGTGCAAATAATTAATGGGAGTAATGTTAGTGTATTATTGTGCATTGAAGGCCTCTTGTATAGTAAACGATTAATTTAGAAGATAGACTATGTGCTTTCGTCTATTGTAATAATAATATAGCACGCATTAACGTCAGAATAACAACAAATGATGGGATATTTCTAAAGATAATCATCTGAAAAAGTGCTTAGAGTGGTAATGAATATGCCACTAAAAACGTATAAGTGCTATTATTTCGAAATTGTAGGTCTGTAAACTGTTGATGATTAGAACTACAGGAAGAAACAAGCCGTCACTTATATCATTAATTGTCAATCATCATGGATAGAACTTGTACAATGATGACGGACTAATTATAATCAACGAGACACTCAAGAAAATCCAAAGATAAATATCACACTTGTTTATGTCCGTGTAATGTAACAAATATAAACATTTTTTTTTCTCATTTTGTGTAGTGGTGAGGGTGTTCGTGTGCGTCGGTCTGCACAAGTGTAGGTAGGCGCATGGTTTAGAGTTTGCATCACGCCTATGAAGGCTGAGAAGTTCGGATATTTAGGGAGTGATAAGCAAGCCTACAAATCCTTATTGTATTCACGTTGTATTCGAAACGCTAATCTGTAAATTTTCGGCGTACATTCTTTCTAATACTTTTTTTTATGAATCATCTGATAAAATGAAACAGAATACATATTATCAAACAGAAAATTATAAGAGACGACACCACCCAAGTTCGTTCTCTATAATCCCCCACAACATTCTTAAAAGTAGAGTTGGAAAAGAGTCCGAAGCATTGCTATAAGACTAAAAGTTGGCTATATCACTATTTCGACTGAGGTAAAGCTAACTAAACCCGTTTATAATGTTAACAAAATGATACCATCTATGGCATTATGTAGGCGGACGCCCCTTTTATTATCGTCTAAATATTCCTGATACTTGCTCCCAACATATCATTTGTATGTTTTTCATAATCTTCTGACGTTTAGTGGCGATCGATGTGGTGTGGAATTTATTAAGGCCTATAAGTAATTGTTATACTAATCTTCCGTTGGATAAAAGCACAATGTATGAAAATGTGGGTGCATTCTCTGTTTCTATGCGTCTGGATTCTATGGAATTTCTGTTTGACAATTGAATTGACTATCCAGGGTTGTGCTACTCTGTTGAAACTGCAAATCTTCTCTTAACCAGTCTTGTTTCTAAATACAAATCATATTTTCATATCGAAGAGTTATTAGTATATACTGTACAATGTAAATATCAATTTATGCTGAACGACAGGCGCGTTTTATTGTCGTCTACTACCAAATTAAAGCGTCATCAAATTCAAAATCGAGTCGCAGGAGTTGAAAAAGTGTTAATTTATCAAAATGATTTTGAAACACGGTGCCACCTTTGCCGCCGATGTTACGCGTTTGTCTGTTGGTGAACATCAGTTCAGCAACTGCAGTGGCCGTTCAGGTAATTAAAATCTGTCTGTGCACGATCGAGTCGCTGAAAATCTACTTTTATTTGCAAGACAAATAGCTTGTAAATTGTTTGTATTAATATGCTACAAATAATCGTTGTGATGACATCTAACGCTATAAAGTTGTAAGAGCAGTGCGCGTGCGTTGTTGAGGCAGACAGAAACCTTTCTGATTTATATCTTCGTAATTCTTTCACTGTCTATATCATAATACCCTTCCATTTATTAAGACCTACTATTTCTTTCAAAAGTTAACTTCAGTTAATTCTTCAACATTTGTTTCACCATAATAACATAATCATAAACATAATAAATTTGCCAATGAAAATAGTTAAAGTCAAACAAATTTGTTAAGAACAAAATGATAGTTATTGAAATTATGGTTTGGATCAGGTCTAGAAGCGTCAACTTGTCTCAACCTGACCCATTTAAAGAAAAAAAAAATGAATAAATTAATCAATAAGAAATAGGCCTACACTATGATACACATGAACAAATCAAGGCCTATAAAAGCACAAACCATAATAATAAATGGTTACTGGTCAGAATAATTTAAAAGATACATTTTTTTCATACGATTTCTAAAAGTTAGTAAATTATTACAATTTATTAGTTGATCATCTAATTCATTCCATAATTTAGGGCCAGTTACAGTAATAAAAATATTAGTTTTAGTTAGTCTTGAAAACGGTACATCAATTTTTATTTCACAGTATATTATTACTCATATTATTATTTGCCAATATTAATGTATACGTTTACATTAGGTAGG